TCGCTTGAGCTCAGGAGTTTGAGACCAGCCTGGACAACATAGCGAGACATTGTCTCTTCTAAAATAAAAATAAAATAAAATAAAAATTAGCGAGTGTGATGCTACACGCCTGTAGTGCCAGCTAGTCAGGAGGCTGAGGTGGGAGGATGGTTTGAGCCCAGGAATTAGAGGCTGCAGTGAGCTATGATCTTTCTACTGCACTCCAGCCTGAGCAACAGAGTAAGACTCTGTCTCAAAACATACCAAACAAAACACGGTACAGCTGTCCCTCGGTATCTGCAAGGGTTGAGTTTCAGGACCCCCTCAGATGCCAAAATCCATGGATGCTTGAGTCCCTGACATAAAACGATACAGTGTTTGCATATAACCTAAACATACCATCCCGTATACTGTAGATCATCTCTGGATTACTTATAATCCCTAATACAACATAAGCACTATGCTAATGGCTGTTACACTGCATTGTTTAGGGAACAATGAGAAGGAAAAACCCCATACAAGTTCAGTACAGATGCATTATTTTTCCAAATATTTTCCATCCTTGGCTGGTTGAATCTATGGATGCAGTGCCCATGAATGCGGAGGGTAAACTGTATTTTCTCTTAAAAAAAAATTTTTTTTTGAGACAAGGTCTTGCTCTGTCACCCAGGCTGAAGTTCAGTGCTGCGATCACAGCCCACTGCAGCCTCAACTTCCCAAGCTCAAGCAACCCTACCTCAGCCTCTGAGTAGCTGGGAACACAAGTGTGCAACCATGCCCAGCTAATTCTTTAAAAAAGTGTTGGTAGAGGTGGGGGTCTCACTATGTTGCCCAGGCTCTGACTATATATATATTTTTTAACAGAAGAAGTCAGTCCACCTGATTATTAAAATAATTAGCACTAAACTAGAAAGTCTTCGCTAAAAAGAATGAGCGTTTGTAGGGTTTGCACAGTGCCGAGGCCTTTGTCCACATGGCCTCATTCACGCTTCAGAGGAGGTGCGGCACCATCGCTCCCCACGATCTAGACGAGAAAACCTCCAAGGAAGATCAGGGGCTCACGTCAAGTGCAGGGGCGGGTTCAGTGCCAGATCTTTCTGACCCCAGTGCCCCTTGCTTGGCTAAATATCAGCCACCCAGTAGACAGTTCCGGAGTCTAAAAGCCCATTTGCCAGGGAAAAGTATCAGTAAAGATTTTAGCCCAATACCACTATGGATGTGTATTAAAAAGTGAACCTCCAACCCCA